GTACCAGCACCAGGGGGTGGGAGAACCACCTGCAATGGGGGGGGCAGTTCAAAGCACCCCCAGGGGCTGTTCGCCGGTGAAAGGAGCGGGGGGGCATTTTGGGGGAGGGAGGGAAGGAGAGCAGGGGGCTCCATCCCTGGGATAGCACCCTCCCCATCTGCCCCTAGGCACAGGAGGTCCCCGGTGTGAAGATCTTCTCCTCCTCCTCCACCCTCTATTTTGCCAATGTGGAGCTGTACGCCGACGCCCTGAAGAAGAAGGTAGGAGAGCCACCAGCCCCCTGGTGCTCCCCATACCCTCCGCCTGCCGGCACCAGGGTGGCGGTGGGGCGCCTGGGGACACAGGGCTGCATTGTTTTGCAGAGCGGCATCAACGTGGACCGCCTGATCGAGAAGAAGAAGAAGGCCCTCAAGAAGCTGAAGAAACAGCAGAAGAAGGCTGAGAAGGAGAAGGCAAAGAGGCAAAAGGTGCTTCCCCGCTGCAGGGGTCCCCTCTGGTGCCACCCTGCACCGCCTCCCTGCCTGGCTCTGGCCCGCCTGCCCATGCATTCCCCAGGCTTGGTGGCCCGTGGGGCCCCCGTTCAGTCGGGGGCCACCGGGGGCCACTGGGTGAGAAGAGGCACTGGGGCAGGGCTGGGCCACAGTATCACACCCAAGGTCAGCGGGGAAAGCCAGGCCGTTAATGATTAGGTGGCGAGTCATTCATTAGCTATTTGGTGAGTTAATCAGAATTAAGAGTGAGAGCAAAGGCTGACCTGGCACCACCTAATGAGCCTGGCTCTGGAGAGTGTCATCAGGGAGAGGGGTGGGTCCCGGTGCCTCTGGAAAGAGCCCAAAAGTGGGTGAAGGTGCGAGTGAGGCACCCACTCCCGGGGCCACCCACTGCCCATGCCCTAAGGCAGCCAAAGGGCCTCGCCAGGCCCCCCTGCGCTATAGGGCAGGGCAAGCCTGGGGGGAGGTACGCTGCCTGGCCAGCAGCACCGCGGGTGCCGCCAGCCCCCGTGCAGTGAGGCCAGGACTCCTTCCCTTCCCCAGGATGGGGAGGACAGGGTTAATGGTCCGGGCGTGGCGGTGATTGAGCTGAGTGGGGCGGAGGACAGCACACCACCCGAGCCCACCCTGCGCACCCTGGGGCTGCCCCAGCCCGGCTTCCATGCCATCATCCTGGACTTCAGCCCTGTCAACTTCGTGGACACCGTCTCCATCAAGATCCTGAAGAACGTAAGGGGCCAGGGGGAGCAGGCAGGCCAGCAGCCTCGCCGAGGGCGTCCCCAGGGCCCTGCAGGGTGGCCTGATGGCTGCTGCCCGTCCCTCTTCCCGGGCGAAACGTTTTCTGCTGTTTGCAGATCTTCAGGGATTTCCGTGAGATAGAAGTGGACGTCTTCGTTGCCGGCTGCCCGGGTGAGGAGGCTCTGCAGAGCTATCAGCCCCAGCTGGGCATGCCCACCCCTTCGGGACACAGCTGCTGGCCTGGGGCTCCCTCCGTGGTGTCCCCATCCCCAGGGCTTTCCCAGGGGACAGGTGCTGCAGGTTGTCCCAGGGATCCAGTCTGAGCCCCACAGCCCCTGGCAAGGCAGCTGGATCCCTGGTGATGGCCCCAGTGCCCCTGCAGCGCAGGGGGAGGGAGGCTGGGTGAGGGGCGGTGGGCTCAGCTTGGTGCCATAGCTTCAGATGTTTCTCCCTCCACACAGTGGCCGTCCTCACCCAGCTGGAGCGGGGCAACTTCTTCAGCTCGGCCATCACCAAGCACTGCTTCTTCCCCTCGGTGCACGCCGCCATGATCCACATCAGCAGGGAGCGGCACCAGGCCTCGGTAAACACCCAGCCTCGCTGTCCCCATCACTGTGATGGAGGCGGGGCAGCCAAGCCAACCCCTCCCTGCCTGTCTCCCTTAGGTGGACCTCAGCACCAGAATGTAGCCCCGTTAGAGGAAGACGTCTCCCCGAGGAGCTGGGCAGGCAAGGCGGGCTTTACTGCCCCAACGGCACCAACTCACACGCCCCCAGGCCCGGAGGCTTTGTACCCCCACCAGCCCCTCCGGACTCCCAGAGCTGGGACCCTGCTCCGGGTGCGAGCTCCCCCTGCGATGGAGCTGCTGCAGGCCGAGGGCCCAGCGCCCTGCTCCAGCACAGGGACATTGTGCCGAGGTGCCCGCCGGGAGCCCCCGCGCAGCCCCAGCGCGGGCCTGTCCTGCCGGGCCGGGCCCTGGTTTGGGGGTCGGCAGAGGGGCCTCCGGACTCG